GCCGCCGCTACGGAGGAAGGGACGGAAGGGTCGCGCCACACTCAGTCTGTCATATCTTACCGGTGCTAGTCATGTGAGCGCGTAGATTCATGCACTGTAATAACCGACCCACGCCGTCTACGACTGACCAACGCTAGCCTTTCTGTTCTCTGCAACTATGCTAACAGGGTTTCTGCTGCTCTTATCAAGCTCCGTTAAGAGCAAGTAAAGAAATAAATCCAATGGAACACAATATGTGACCCTGCAGCACAAACCCAGTGTTAAGTCGCTGGGGTATATTTGTAGCAATAACCAACAATACATTGTATGGGTCACAATTATACATTTTTATTTTATGCCAAAAATCATTAGGATATTAAGTAAAGATCATGTTCCATGAAGATATTTTGTAAATTTCCTACTGTAAATATATCAGAACTTAATGTTTGATTAGTAATATGCATTGCTAAGAACTTCATTTGGACAACTTTAAAGATGATTTTCTCAATATTTAGATTTTTTTGCACCCTCAGATTCCAGATTTTCAAATAGTTGTATCTCAGCCAAATATTGTCCTATCCTAACAAACCATACATCAATGGAAAGATTATTTATTCAGCTTTCAGCTGATGCATACATCTCAATTTCAGAAAATTGACCCTTATGACTGGTTTTGTGCTCCAGAGTCACAAATGTCAGTGTGGTCTCTAAATGTAAATACATCAAAGTTTGAAAATACAAATCCAAAAGATCTCTATTACTTTTTAATTCAAAAAACAGCTTGTTTTGAATATCTCTGCTCATAAACACTAAAATATGAAAATAACTTTTACTGTATCTTCAGATCACACTGCAAAAAAGTGCTGGCCTTCCTCAGTATTTATCTTGTTTTCCAGTGCAAATGTCTAAAGATTCTTAAATCAAGACATTTACTGGAGTAAGTGACCAGTGTTGTCACGTAATCACATACTTTTTTCAAGTAACTAGTAAAGTTATGCATTACTTTTTAATTTACAAGAAAATATCTCAGTTACTTTTTCAGATAAGTAGTGCAAGTTACTTATTTTCACGTGTATTGACCGACAGCTCTTCTGTCCCGTGTTGAGATAAATCAGGAGTGATTTTCCTTCAGCCTGTGGATTATTAAATTCACTTTTGGTGTGAAAATTAATAAGTAAACCAGCTCAGGTGACAAAATGTAACACAAAAGTAACATAATGCATTACTTTCCATAAAAAGTAACGCAATTAGTCACTTTTTTTTTATTGAGTAATGTAATATCGTAATGCATTACTTTTAAAAGTAACTTTCCCCAACACTGAAAGTGACAAAATAAGAAGTCTTGTTTTCTGAGAAATTGATAAAAATGAAGTGAGTTTATAATTAAGGGGGCGTTTACACTGCACCATTTTCAACTAAAAACGTAAAACTTGTGCATTTTGGCCGTTCATGTACACGTCAGCAGCATTTTGGGGACCTGAAAACAAACTTTTAAAACGGGTTTCAAAGTGGACGTTTTTGAAAACATCTGTGTAAACTACAAAAACGTGAATTTGTGAAAACTGTGTTTCTTTATAAAGTGACATTGCCATCTACTGGTCTGGCATGCTTAATACAGCGTTGTTTTCGTGGATCCATGTAATTGGGGATCATTTTGACAATGTTGTCGTCTGTTTAGAAACTTTTTAAAAATGCAAATGAAAAACAAATATCTGATAATGGGCTTGCGAATTTAAGTTATGCAGGAAATTAGAATATCGCATAAAACATTTGCGCGTAAAGCACCGTTTCCATCCTAAGTGTTAAAGAGAACAGAGTCGCCACTCCCTGTTAAACTGGCGCAACGTGTCAATAATAAAAATGAAAATCGTTTAGATGACGGACTTTGGCTCAGGCATTTCAAAACGATTAAAACAACATTTGAGATAGATGCTAACCAGTCCAGTTATCCAATCACATGATTCGTTGAGGCAAAGTCACATGACTTTGTCATTCAGTAAACGTGTTTCCATCGTAGTTTATGTGCATGTTTTTTATTGAATTAAAAAAATTATGCTCCTCAATGGAGCGCACAAGATTGTAATGCGCATTTTAAGATTTTATGCACATCTTGGCATTTCCATCGTGTTTTTTTTTTATGCGATATCCCAAAATTTGCATAGAAATACATGGATGGAAACAGATATTTATTGTTGGTTAAAGCATAAACGCACTTAATTTTGTTCAGTTTCTCAGAAAACAAGACGCGTTTCCAGTAAATGTGTCTTGATTTAAAAGGTTAGTTCACCCAAAAATGTAAATTAGCCCATAAATTACTCACCCTCAAGTCATCCTAGATGTATATGACTTTCTTCTTTCAGACGAATCCAGTCGGATTTATATTAAAAATTGTTTGACTGTTTAATGCCACTCAGCGGGTGTTGCATGCATCAGTCCAAAAGAAGTTAAATAAAAAGCGCCCATCCATAAAAAAATTGTCTCACACGGCTCCGGGGGGTGAATTCAAAATTGTCTTTGATCTTTCAAGCTGTTTAATGCCACTCAGCAGGTGTTGCATGCATCAGTCCAAAAGAAGTTAAATAAAAAGCGCCCATCCATAAAAAAATTGTCTCACACGGCTCCGGGGGGTGAACAAAGGCCTCTTTTTATTTAACTTCTTTTGGACTGATGCATGCAACACCCGCTGAGTATTTCTACTGGAAAACAAATCAAGAATACTAAGGAAGATATTCTTTTTTTGCTGTGCATGCAGCATTTATGAATCCAAGACTTTCTGCTCCAATTTTAGACCTTTTTTTAGGCCTCAGGTTGTGTAAGAGCGAATGAAGACCTTTTTAAGACCTGCAGAAACCCTGTACATGTAATTTAAGTGTGTCTATACTGTAACCGTGTCACTTTTTTACTTGCGAACGCATTTGTAAACTAGAGGACCCCTGGAACGGAGGGGTTTGTAATGGTGCTTCTTATAATGACCAACTACTTGTAAACTGTGTTTCTGTGACTCGATCCATATGCACTGAGGTCTGACGGCCACACACCTCCACACACACACCTGTGGCCTCCGGCGATGAGAACGCCGCCTCTGCCGTCTGTACGACCATGTTCTGTTCTGTCTTCACACTCGTGAGGGGTTTAGTTGTACATTCACAATAAAAACATATTTTTGGTTGCGACTCGAGCGCTGGCCTTCTTTCAGAGCGGCCTCTGAACTCCATCAGGTCTCAGAATCACTCAGTTCTCGCCCGGTTCCTCAGAAAAACGATGATTCGAATTGGACAACATTGACATCGTACCAGAATATTGCTGTTTTACAGTACTGTGGTATTCTTTAACCCTGTCATATGAAATAATAGTCAAAAAATCCAATCCTTTTTTAAAATGGAACAGTTGATCGAACCTTTAGACGAAATATATTACACGAAAGACGAAAGTTTGCATGTTTTTTGAGTATCATGTTTGATCCATCAGGCTTTTATGGCTCATATAGTCTGATACAGTGAGAATATGGAGGAAAAAGCAGCTCAGTTTTATTCAGAGACTCAAACTAAGCAAAAATATGCAATTTGGTGCAAATGCTGATATTTATATGAAATTCTGATGCTTGTGATGTAAATCAATGAGATCTTTATAACAGTGCAGCAGATACTGACATAAAATGATCTAAAGATCAGTCATCGCTCTGTATCTCCAGTAATGTGTCTCAGTAAGATGAGATTGAAATGCTCCAAACATATAATGCGGTGATCGAGAGCTGAAGAAATAAAGGCTCCTCAGAAGATGTGAGATGTTCTGGAGGCTTGTGAAGATCATTCCTCCGCTGAGGAACAGTGAAAGTAAAGCTTCTGGAAACAAACGCTCCTCAAAAGATCCTGAGGATCAGATTTGAGACTCTAAAACATGATTGATGGAGAATCAAGTAAAGCTGAGCTGCTTCAGTCCAGTAAGTGTTCATCTGGAGATATTACTGCAGTTATTCTGACGTTTACTTGATCAAAACCAGTCAAGATTTGACACGAGAAGCTCCAGCTGAAGCTGGACGTTCGTACAGTTACAGTAAAAGAGCTTTGAGTGGATAAAAAAAGAACAGCAAAGAAATTCATGATCAATTAAAGCTGCAAGCAGCGTTGAAAGGGCCTTCGCACCCGGAGCCACTTTCACCCGGTGGCTTTAGGAAAACAGTGAACGGTGGGCAAAATGCATTTAAAGTGTTAAATACAGGAGTAATATATCAAAGTCATTTATATTTGGCAAACTTCCTGCTGCCAGCTGGTGGCGCTATGACTATAACTGAATATTGGCATGTAGATGTCTTCAGGCCAGGACTCTTATAAAATGAGTGAAGTTTGGGGCAGATTAAACATGGTATGTTTGAGTTAGTGTAAAACATGACATATCCTGTTGCCAGCAGGTGGCGCTATGATTATAACTGAATATTGGCCTTTAAATGTCTTCAAGCCAGGACATTTATTAAACATGAAGTTTGGGGCAGATCGGACATTGTATTGTAAGTTGTCGGACTTACAACAACTTCCTTTTTCATGGCGAAACATCGAAATTTGTCAGGCCGCCACGGACACGCGTTTCAACGAAAACTCAAGATCTTTGCAATTTAACATCACAAAGGGCTTTAGATCAGACTGACCAAATTTGGTGTTGATCTGATTAAATTTCTGGGAGGAGTTCAGTCTATGGTTAAAATACGCCTGGAAATGCCAAAAACAACACAAAATTTGCAGAGAAAATTCTAAATAACTGACTTCCTGTATGATTTCGGATTTTGCTCCAAGATACTTTTTTGTAGGTATCGGTGTGTTACGTGTCTACCAAATTTCGTACATGCACGTGAAACGTAGCTCGAGGGGCACTTCGTTGAAAGCGTATCGCTATCGGGCCATTTTGCCACGCCCACTTCTGAAACCCATTATAAGACTTCTGGCGCGTGTGCAGTTTCATGAGTTTTCGAGCATGTTTAGGCCCTCAAAAATTATATTAATTTTGGAGAATAATAATAAACGGAGCAATTCCAAGAGGGTGCAATGATACAGTAGCTTTATAAGGTTAATGTATTTTGTGGGTGTAATATCCATAAATATGGTTAATTCAGCACAGTACTATAGTATTACCATCTGATATCACTGCAGGACGTTTTTATTAAGGATAAAGAAAGATATCTTGTGTACTGAACCTGAACATCTCACTAAATTTTGTTGCAAGTCTGTGAATGATGCAAAGATCAAACGTGCCCCCAATGAAAACTCGAGCTTTTTCGTCCAAACTTTCAGTCTGCTTTATTTCATGACTGCATGTGTTTTTATAAACTGTCCTGTAGCGCCACCTAGCGGCTCCTGAGCGACATTCACTTCCACATTTCACTGTAGTTTTTTTTAACCCTTGTGCTGTTGAAAATCCTTTACTCAAAATTTGTGTTTCTGGTCAAAAATGACCAGCATTTAAAAACAGTTAGTCTCGCATTATGCTCTATTATCAGCAAATATTGGATTCAATCGTTTGATCAACTTGTTTTCTTTAAATTAGCACAGGTTGTGTTTCTTTTTGAAACTGATTGATTATACAGCTCATTGATCGGAGTTTGTGAGTGAATCATTTTGGTTGTGTTTACTCAAAAATGGGGGGGAAAAAAAGGCCTACAATCAATCAGTTTAAAAAATTAGCTCTAAATCTGTGCAAATCAAAAGAAAACAAGTTGATCAAAAGATTAAATCCAATATTCACTGATAATAGAGCATAATGAGAGATAGATTGGTCATTTTTGAACGAAAATTAACACCAAAATCCCTCAAAAGTACAAAAATGATACAGTTTTTGTGGGGAAGAAGTTATATTCTGTGTCAGCAGTCAGTAAGTTTTAGTGCAGGAAAAAGAAAATCCTCTCCAGGTCAAAATGACGAGCGCAAAACAAGGGTTAAAAGACAAAAACCCTGCTCTGCATTTGAGATCATGTGCAAAACAAAGTGGAAAAAAGAAAAGTAAAAGTACAAATACTGTAACAAATAATATTAAAACACCAAGTACAAAATTACTATAATACAGAGGTAGAAAAAAACTAGTTTAATAGACTGCAAATAACATCAGGATGATCAAACAGTTATTAACCTATCATATTTTGCACAAAAAACAGTTTAATGTCATTGAGAAATGAATCATTAAATAAATGACTCGCCTTGAAATAAGACACATTTTACACCATTAAACTATAAATTACAACATTTTAAATGTTCATGTTTACAACATTTAACACGGTAACAGTTTCAGTTGGTGCCGGTGGATCCGAAGCCTCCCGCTCCTCTCTCCGTCTCATCCAGCGTCTGAAACCAGAAAGCAAATACAGCAGATGCTCTTATAGACGCGACTAATGAGTGAAGTACGTTAACGACAGCAGCGTTTACCTGTAACTCCCGCAGCTCCGGGTAACAGATCCTCTCACAGATCAGCTGAGCGATGCGGTCGCCCTTCTTCACTGCAGACACACGCCGATAAATGTCGAAGAAAAACATTTAGAAAACGGATAGTTCCGGTGCTTGATTCTGATTGGCTGAGCCGCGTTCGAAGCTGTTGTAAATGACGCTACAAAGTAACATACACCTTTGTTTACGTTTGTGTGTTGCTCGGCAACCACTTTGTTGCAACCACAACTGTTTCTGAGGAGCTACATTGTTTGGTGGAAGAATACTGTTTTTATTAATATCATTACACTTTATTTGCTGTGTTTTATTTTGTGAAACCTTGCTACGTATATGGAATAACCGTTTTATAAAAGCAATAATCCCTCTGAAGCCATGGTTTACAGTGAATTTATAACAGCTAAGCTAACAACGCCCCTTAACTGTTATAAATTCACTGTAAACCACGGCTTCACGGGGCTTATTGCTTTAATCTATATGCGGTCTAGACCTTCTGTAGATATCATTTTCAAAACTCGGTGTCATTTAAAGCAGTATTTTTGTCTTGTGCTGTTTTTTTCTCAGAAAGCAAGACTTCGTATCTTCATTTCGCATCTCCAGTAAACGTGTCCTGATTTAAGGATGTTGAGATATTTGTACTGGAAAACAAGACGGTTATCACAGATTCGTGTTTTGCAGTGCATGCAACATTTAATGCCATGATGTTATGAATTTAAGGCTTTCTGCTCTGATTTAAGACCTTCATCTGTGGAAGAGTGAATTCCGACCTGCAGAAAGCCCGAGTCTCACCTTCAAACGGCTCTTTGTTGAAGTTGAAGAGCACGACTCCCAGATTCCCCCTGTAGTCCTCATCGACCACGCCAGCTGTAGACTCACCACACATGTGATATCACAGTAAAACACCACATTCACAATGTGATTCACGAGCGACGTACCGCCAACATCGATGAAGTGCTTCAGTGCGTGACCCGAGCGAGGAGCTGCAACACAAACCGTGTTTAATGAGGAAACCGTTTCTGGCTTGACATCACATGCTTCTGTAGCTCTCGCTCACCGACTCGGCCGTAGTGTCCATGCGGAACCGCGATCTGGATGTCGGTCTTGACCAGAGCTTTATCCATCGGCCCGATGCTGTAGTCATATGCACTGAAACACACAATCAATCAATCAATCAATCACAGCTCATCAAATGCACACAGTAAGTACAGAATTAAGAGAAAAACACAATGCAAAAGGAATACACATGAATCTGAACATATGCATGAGCAAAAACAACCTAATCACAGTTCATCAAATGCACAGCAAGTACAGAATTAAGAGAAAAACACAATGCAAAAGGAATACACATGAATCTGAACATATGCATGAGCAAAAACAACCTAATCACAGTTCATCAAATGCACAGCAAGTACAGAATTAAGAGAAAAACACAATGCAAAAGGAATACACATGAATCTGAACATATGCATGAGCAAAAACAACCTAATCACAGCTCATCAAATGCACAGCAAGTACAGAATTAAGAGAAAAACACAATGCAAGAGGAATATACATGAATCTGAACACATGCATGTGCAAAAACAACCTAATCACAGTTCAACAAATGCACCAAAGCAGCAGGAAATACTGGCAATAAATGCGTTAATTAAAAAAAATACAGGAAAAAGGGAAACGGAAGAGGGAAAACAATTCAAATGAGAGACATGCATGAATCTAAACGTGCAGAACACACCTGTGCAGGTCGAATCCCGCGGCTCGGTTCGATCCTCGGCTCGGCGGCGTGGCGTTTTCCGTCAGCGTGGCGAATGTTAGCACCTGTTCTTCGTGTCCGTTCACCGCATCACGCTTACATCTCTTCTGCGGCGAAACCGCTTCTGTAACTTCAGAGCAGGGCATTTTACTGACGAGCGAGCGAGGAGAAGCACGACAGAGCGAACGAATGAAGCGCGCCAGAATGATGAGCAAAGCAGTGTTGCCAAGTCTCGCGAGAAAAATAAGCAACCGCAGCTTCGTGAACAAGCCCAAAATTACTCGATTTATTATCAGCGATATTATTTAGTAACAATAAATGAGCCAGCAACATATTCAACTGAAACCACATTTATTTGAAAAGCAAAAACAGCAAACTGCAACAAATGTTTGTGAATTACGCTGCAGCACTTTTATTATTGCACTGATTATCCATTAACTGTGAGCAGATAGAGTGTCAATCAATGCACTGGAGAAAACGGCGAACATAAAAGTAAAGAAACGAAGCTGCTTGTGAGATTTTCATATCAAGCAACCATATTTTTTTTTTAACTTAAAAAAAGAATCCCAAAGTTGCGTGTTATAAGCGGACTTGGCAATGCTGTTTGAATGACTCTAGGGCGGGAAACACTCCGAGTGGCGGGTACTGGCTGAGTGACGTATTAACGTCAAAAGAGGACGTGCAAAATCTAAATCTGGAATTTAATCAATTTAGTTGTCATTATCAAACTAAATGATCAGTTGTGGCGACCACTAATCGGGAGAAGCCAAAAAAAGTTGTCATAATTCATCTATACAGCAGACATATTTCATTCATATTCTCCTTGTCAGTGAACCTAAACGTGATATCACATTTCAGCAGTGGTGAATCACATTTTATTCTGTAATTCAAAATGTATAACCATCACATTATAGAGTTAAATATAGGATTCGACGATCACCAATGCTGCAGCGGCTGTGATATCACCGTTAATGCCATGCAGTCAGTTATTAACGGTTATTTCGCGGTTTTGTCGTGTTTTTATTGAGCTGCTGACCTCCAGCACGGCGTGGTCCGAACACAAAGCCGTTTAAACAGCGCGAACAGAAGAAACACACCGAAACATCTTCACCAGTCATTCCTCCATTCCGCTGCTGTTGCATTCTGGGAGTTGTAATCTTTTCTCCATCGTGCTGTGTAGTTCCCGGAGATTGTGTCCATCACGTGTTGGCGTCCGTTCCGTTGATTCAGAATGAAGCGAAATCACGTGAACATTAAACGGCTCATCTATGATCAACACGACTGATTGCTTAGTTAGCAAAGTAAGTGCTTAAATCACACCTCATACTCATCCTGAATAGCGTCAACGTTACTCAGGTGAACGGAATATGGGGTGACGACTGATTGCTTAGTTAGCAAAGTAAGTGCTTAAATCACACCTCATACTCATCCTGAATAGCGTCAACGTTACTCAGGTGAACGGAATATGGGGTGACGACTGATTGCTTAGTTAGCAAAGTAAGTGCTTAAATCACACCTCATACTCATCCTGAATAGCGTCAACGTTACTCAGGTGAACGGAATTGCCACGCTGACCACGGTTTCCTATTTCTGCTGTAAAATCACAATACATTATTTAATCAGGAGTCACATTCAAACAATGACGTTTATTGTTTTTCTTAATTGAATAATAACTTCAGAGAAATTAGTTGAAAACCTAACTAGTACACATAGTACTTCTAGCACACAGTACTACAAACCCCATACTTCTGAGACACAACTAAATGAATTTAAAAATATATATTATATTTATTTACTGTGGAAAATTGATATAACATGAACTAATTTCTTTCCCAGTACCACAGAAATATAAACAGGATCGGGAAGACTAGATATCATAATGGCCGTTAGTCAATATATTTACAAAAGTATGACTATACTTGACAAAAATAAGATACTTTAATTGATAACTCTGAATAATTTGACACTAAAGTGCTTTTGTACTGTTTACACAGATCTACTGTATGTCCAGTAGAGGGCAGTATAGATATATTAATTAGAACGCTATTTATACCTCATTGTGTTGCGTGTTAAATTCAGTGACTTTTTATTTTGCATTTTAATGTTATTTTATGTGAAAATGTCTTTTGACATTTTGATGAATAGAAAGAAATCAAAATCAACATTATAAATGTCTCTACTGTCACTTTTTGATCAATTTAATGCATCCTTGCTGAATAAAAGTATTAATTTCTACTTTCTTTTTTTTTTTTTAATAGTAGTGTGTCACAGTTTTCACAAAAATATTAAGCAGCAAAAACAGTTTTCAGCATTGATAAGAAATGTTTCTTTTGGCAGTCTGATTAAACAATAAATAAAAATCATGGGTTCATTCTTCATATACAATATGCTATTTATACCTTATTATGTTGCATGTTAAATCCAGTGGCTTATGTTACTTTATGTAAAAATGTTTGATCAAATAATAAGTCAAGAAAGACATGGATTCATTCTTCAACCTGTGTGTGTTGTGTGTGTGTGTGTGTGTGTGTGTGTGTGTGTGTGTGTGTGTGTGTGTGTGTGTGTGTGAGTGTGTTCTGTTCTTCAAGAGTAGAAGGTCAGCACACTCTGATGGTTTCCTCGTATCAGGACGGTCGGCGGTAGATTCTTCGTGAGCGCATCTAGCCAGGCCATGTACAGATGATCAGAGACGGAGCCTTTACGGGCGATGGGCATGCTGTAACACACACACACACACACACACACACACACACACACACGTTAGTCACGTGATCACGTACTGACACGCACATAATGCTGATGAGGATGTGACTTACACCACGACGAGTTTGGCTGCTCTCGAGCTCTCCTGAAGAAGCTCATTCAGACGCACCTGCAGCATCGTCTGCGGACAGTAAAGCACAGACGCTTATCTCAGACTCGTGTGATCGATCTTTTGGATTTAGTCCTTTGGGATGTGGAATAATAGATTTTTGTTTTTGAATGAAGTCTCTTCTGCTCACCAGGGCTGCATTTATTTTATCAAAAATACAATAAAAATATGAAATATTATTGCTATTTAAAACAGCTGTTTTCTGTGTGAGTATCTGTTAAACTGTAATGTATTTCTGTGATGTCTGATTATTATCAATGTTGAAAACAGTCGTGCTGCACAATATTTTTGTGGAAACTGTGATACATTTTATTTTTCAGGATTCACAGATGAATAGAAAGTTAAAAAGAGCAGCATTTATTTGAAATAGAAATCTTTGTAGCATTATAAATGTCTTTACTGTCACTTTTGATCAATTTAATGCAGCCTTAATGAATGAAAGTTTAATTTCTTATTTTTTATGCCAAACTTTATATGAATATTTTTATGAATAGTAGTGTATCACGGTTTACACAAAAATATTGTGCAGCACAACTGTTTTCAACATTAATAATCAGAAATGTTTGTTGAGCAGCAAATCAGAATATTAGAATGATTTCTGAAGATCATGTGACACTGAAGACTGGAGTAATGATGCTGAAAATACAGCTGCGCATCACAGAAATACATTACAGTTTAACAGATATTCACATAGAAAACAACTGTTTGAAAGAGTAAAAACTATTATAAAAAAAAAACTACTATAGTTTTTACTATATTTTGATCAAATAACTGCAGCCGTGGTGAGCAGGATAGAGCAGTTGTAATGTTCTCTGGGATTCTACCTTCTCCTCGAAGGCGTCCAGCTCAGCATCCGTGATCTTCCAGGGATGTTCTTTCCTCAGAGCTTCAGCCTGCGACGTCTCCTTTGAACCCTCGTGCATCCGGAACGGCTCGATCATGTCCTCGAAGAGTTTCCAGCTGACACACACACACACACACACACACACATACACGCACACACACAGACACACACACACACACACATACACGCACACACACACACATACACGCACACACACACACACACACACACACACACACGCAGTGAGAGAGTGTATTCGGAGCACGTGGAGCGTGTCAGTGAATGAAATGAGGATTAATTGCGTGTGTTTTTCATTCACACCTCTCTGTGCTGGGCCTGACGTTGATGTCTGTGATAACTTTGATGTCGGCACATTTGATCCTGAACTTCCTCAGGAGCTCCTGCATTCTGACAGACAGTTACGGAGAAAAACACACGGGTTACAGGTCAGCAGGTGTTTCATTAGAGGCATCAGTGTCTGTCTCTGTGTGTATGCTGACATACTCCTCTTTGTCCTGTTCGATGCGTTCAGGCTGCCCGGCGATAAAGATCCTGAGTCTGCAGTCCCTCCATTTCTTGCGTGTGGTCAGAATATGAGGCAGGAGAAGCGTGAGACCTGCAGAACATCAAGAAGAAGCATGAACATTCAGACCTGACGGAACAGAAGACGGCAGGAGGACTTGCACTCACCTCCGTCATCAAACAGCCACCAAACGTCAATCGTCCCTTTGTCCTGTTTCTTCTTGAACTGGCTGCTGGCCTCCACCAGACGCTGGTTCATCTTCGCCAGATCTGATGTCTGAGGAACATCCAGAGAGACTGAGGAAGGAAAGCAAAAAGCCCTCAGCTCTTCTGGACAAACAGGTGACATTAAACTCAAAATCCAGACTGTGTTTAGCGTTGATGTGTTTGAAGTGGACTGCAGAACTAGTGTGAGTCTTGTGATCGGAAGGGTTTGAGAAGCACCAAATTCAGTGCATCCAAAAATAATTTAAACTCCAAAGTCATGCCAAAAAAATCTCTGAATTGAATCGCAAAAGATGCAAAATATTAAATCAAGAAGCATTTGCACTGAGGGTTTTTCACAAATAAATGCACTTTTCTGAACCACTTTTTAAATGATTTTATCTGGTCTTTGGGATATGTTGTCTTCATTTTGAGTAATATATTTATTGTTTCATATTTTGAAACCTGTTGTTATTATAGTTGATGTTTCAAATAAAATAAACGTTTACTTATTATAGTTAACTAAAACCATTAAATATATTTTTGTTGCTTGAAATGAAATAAACATGTACTGAAATGAGTAATATATATATATTATTTCAGCTAGTTGCCAAGGAAACATTTCTTATTTTCATTTAGTTTAACTTGATGTACTAAAATGACTAAAACGTAAATAAAATTAATAAAACCTTATAGACATATTAAAAAAAAAACATGAAAATGCTAAATAAAATAAAATCAGAAAATGAAAAATAATTCAAACTATTAATAATATCTCAATGCCACTAAAATAACACTGGCCTGTACTATATTTCTTTAAAATAAATGCCACTCGTTTTGACATTTTGTTGCCTAACTCATATTTCTTTAATTGTGGCTCAAGTGATACGTTTGTAGCGACTAGATGTGCTTTATTAGACCGCAGTGATTACAGACATCAGCACAAAAGACCAACAAATTAGAGTTTAATGAGTCGTTTGGACTACGAGCGCCTGCTAAATGACACGTGACCGAGTGATTGAATCTGTTTCAGAAGAGGCAGTGAAGATGAAGATGAAGATAACGGTGAACGCAGTCTGCAGCATTTGAGATGTTAATGGAGTTCAGGGCACTGTGCTCCGTGAGACCAGACTATTAGATTATAACAGCACAGACGGTTTGACAGAGGCAGGTTTAATCAGCCAAAAGCTCTGAGAAGACCGTCAGAGAGAGAGAGAGAACGAGCGGCCGTACCTTTGCTGGTCAACTCTTTTTTGGAGGTTTTCTTGGACCTGTTGAAGAACCCTTTGTGTCCGTGTGTCTGAAAGTCAATCTCCTCCATCTCCAGCGCCTGCTGCTCCATGATCATGCGCTCCATTTCCTCTGACAATCACACAGCATTACATATTCATCATTTAGCACTGCATCAGTGTCTCAGCAATGGATGCCTCACATCAAAATCCAGCCACATAAGTGTTTAGAGCTGTTTAAACGCTGCTTGATCTGTGCAGATTTCTCTCCTGATTCACACCAGAACACTTTTTCACTGGAGGAAGAGTTGAACTGTTCCTTTAACTCGTCTGTTTCATGTCTTTAACACACGCAGTAATGTTGTGTAGTGTTTATCTGAGCATTACGCTGAATGACACGTCTTGTTATTCTGACAGTTTGTTGGTGTTGTTGTACCTTCTGCTTTGAGGATGTGAGAGATGTCCATCCCCTGACTGATTCTCAATATCACAGTCCCGTTCTCGAAATCAAATGCATCGCTGCGGGGAGAACAAAACCGTGTGTGTGTGTGTGAGAGAGAGAGAGAGAGAGAGAGAGAGAGAGAGAGAGAGAGAGAGAGAGAGACAGAGAGA